ACAGAACATGTAGGGAACTGTCGCACGGAACTTGTACAGAACATGTAGGGAACTGTCGCACGGAACTTGTACAGAACATGTAGGGAACATGTAGGGAACTTTCGCTCGGAACTTGTACAGAACATGTAGGGAACTGTCGCACGGAACTTGTACAGAACATGTAGGGAACTGTCGCTCGGAACTTGTACAGAACATGTAGGGAACTGTCGCACGGAACTTGTACAGAACATGTAGGGAATTGTCGCACGGAACTTGTACAGAACATGTAGGGAACATGTAGGGAACTGTCGCACGGAACATGTACAGAACATGTAGGGAACTGTCGCACGGAACTTGTACAGAACAAGTAGGGAACTGTCGCACGGAACTTGTACAGAACAAGTAGGGAACTGTCGCACGGAACTTGTACAGAACATGTAGGGAACATGTAGGGAACTTTCGCTCGGAACTTGTACAGAACATGTAGGAAACTGTCGCACGGAACTTGTACAGAACATGTAGGGAACTGTCGCACGGAACTTGTACAGAGCATGTAGGGAACTGTCGCACGGAACTTGTACAGAACATGTAGGGAACATGTAGGGAACTTTCGCACGGAACATGTACAGAACATGTAGGGAACTGTCTCACAGAACTTGTACAGAACATGTAGGGAACTGTCGCACGGAACTTGTACAGAACATGTAGGAAACTGTCGCACGGAACTTGTACAGAACATGTAGGGAACTTTCGCACGGAACTTGTACGGAACATGTAGGGAACTGTCACACGGAACTTGTACAGAACATGTAGGGAACTGTCGTACGGAACTTGTACAGAACATGTAGGGAACTGTCTCACAGAACTTGTACAGAACATGTAGGGAACTGTCGCACGGAACTTGTACAGAACATGTAGGGAACTGTCGTACGGAACTTGTACAGAACATGTAGGGAACATGTAGGGAACTTTCGCTCGGAACTTGTACAGAACATGTAGGGAACTGTCACACGGAACTTGTACAGAACATGTAGGGAACTGTCGTACGGAACTTGTACAGAACATGTAGGGAACTGTCACACGGAACTTGTACAGAACATGTAGGGAACTGTCGCACGGAACTTGTACAGAACATGTAGGGAACTGTCACACGGAACTTGTACAGAACATGTAGGGAACATGTAGGGAACTTTCGCACGGAACTTGTAAAAAAATTGTACAGAACATGTAGGGAACTGTCACACGGAACTTGTACAGAACATGTAGGGAACTGTCGCACGGAACTTGTACAGAACATGTAGGGAACTGTCACACGGAACTTGTACAGAACATGTAGGGAACATGTAGGGAACTGTCGCACGGAACTTGTAAAAAAATTGTACAGAACATGTAGGGAACTGTCGCACGGAACATGTACAGAACATGTAGGGAACTGTCGCACGGAACTTGTACAGAACATGTAGGGAACTGTCGCACGGAACATGTACAGAACATGTAGGGAACTGTCGCACGGAACTTGTACAGAACATGTAGGGAACTGTCGCACGGAACTTGTACAGAACATGTAGGGAACATGTAGGGAACTTTCGCTCGGAACTTGTACAGAACATGTAGGGAACTGTCGCACGGAACTTGTACAGAACATGTAGGGAACTGTCGCTCGGAACTTGTACAGAACATGTAGGGAACTGTCGCACGGAACTTGTACAGAACATGTAGGGAATTGTCGCACGGAACTTGTACAGAACATGTAGGGAACATGTAGGGAACTGTCGCACGGAACATGTACAGAACATGTAGGGAACTGTCGCACGGAACTTGTACAGAACAAGTAGGGAACTGTCGCACGGAACTTGTACAGAACAAGTAGGGAACTGTCGCACGGAACTTGTACAGAACATGTAGGGAACATGTAGGGAACTTTCGCTCGGAACTTGTACAGAACATGTAGGAAACTGTCGCACGGAACTTGTACAGAACATGTAGGGAACTGTCGCACGGAACTTGTACAGAGCATGTAGGGAACTGTCGCACGGAACTTGTACAGAACATGTAGGGAACATGTAGGGAACTTTCGCACGGAACATGTACAGAACATGTAGGGAACTGTCTCACAGAACTTGTACAGAACATGTAGGGAACTGTCGCACGGAACTTGTACAGAACATGTAGGAAACTGTCGCACGGAACTTGTACAGAACATGTAGGGAACTTTCGCACGGAACTTGTACGGAACATGTAGGGAACTGTCACACGGAACTTGTACAGAACATGTAGGGAACTGTCGTACGGAACTTGTACAGAACATGTAGGGAACTGTCTCACAGAACTTGTACAGAACATGTAGGGAACTGTCGCACGGAACTTGTACAGAACATGTAGGGAACTGTCGTACGGAACTTGTACAGAACATGTAGGGAACATGTAGGGAACTTTCGCTCGGAACTTGTACAGAACATGTAGGGAACTGTCACACGGAACTTGTACAGAACATGTAGGGAACTGTCGTACGGAACTTGTACAGAACATGTAGGGAACTGTCACACGGAACTTGTACAGAACATGTAGGGAACTGTCGCACGGAACTTGTACAGAACATGTAGGGAACTGTCACACGGAACTTGTACAGAACATGTAGGGAACATGTAGGGAACTTTCGCACGGAACTTGTACAGAACATGTAGGGAACTGTCGCACGGAACTTGTACAGAACATGTAGGGAACTGTCGCCCAGAACTTGTACAGAGCAGACAAGTAATTGAATATTGATTTAGCCTCGGGACGGATCAGCCGCTTCACGTGGAGTCAGGTGACCAAGTGATCTCGCTGACGTCACGGGTTAGGGTTCCGGTGGTCCCGCTAACTCGTGACGTCACAGTTTTCTTTCGACGTCGTCGTAATCCTAACTCGTCATTTACCCAGTCACATGACCAGTCACATGATCAATAAATGTGATTGATCTCATCGGCACCTGCTAGCACATTGTGTGAGTGTTTCTCTAATGAAGCATACGTGTGTGTCAGGACTTTCGTTCTGTTACAACACCAGACTCGGTGTTAGGCCGTAAAAACATGAGAAAAATGTCATTATTGGGGCATTAGCGGGCACGGGTTTAGGGTTAACCCCAAATTGTGGCTCATCTGAGTTTAACGAGGGAGTTTTGTCAAGGGGGATCTAACATTTGATCTGATACGGTACATGAAGGTCAGGGTCAATGAGAACCATGAAGGTCAGGGTCAATAAGAAACACTCGAGGTCAGGGCCAATAAGAAACATTGAGGTCAAGGTCTATAAGAACCATGAAGGTCAGGGTCAATAAGAACCATGAAGGTCAGGGTCAATAAGAACCATGAAGGTCAGGGTCATTAAGAAACATGAAGGTCATGGTCGATGGTTGTAGTCGCAGATAAAGAAGCAGATGTTAACTAAGGCTGAATTGTCCAGTTACTTAACTGGTCAGTTCGGCTATAGCTGACCTGTTCAAATATTGACCACTGGTCAGTTCGGCTCTAACTGACCTGTACACATATTGACCACTGGTCAGTTCCCTAGCTGACCTGTACAAATATTGACCACTGGTCAGTACTATGCAATAGCCGTGTATTTAGAGTGAATCCAAAAAAACTATTTTAAACCCATGAGTACAAATTTCCCATATTTTAAGCCCACGGGGCACTATGTTGTACAAATTTCCCACGGGGCACTATGTTGTACAAATTTCCCACGGGGCACTATATTGTACAAATTTCCCACGGGGCACTATGTTGTACAAATTTCCCACGGGGCACTATATTGTACAAATTTCCCACGGGGCACTATATTGTACACATTTCCCACGGGGCACTATATTGTACAAATTTCCCATTAGGCACTATATTGTACACATTTCCCACGGGGCACTATATTGTACAAATTTCCCACGGGGCACTATATTGTACAAATTTCCCATTAGGCACTATATTGTACAAATTTCCCACGGGGCACTATATTGTACAAATTTCCCACGGGGCACTATATTGTACAAATTTCCCACGTTTTAAACCCAACTTTTATTGTTTACATATAGTTTATGACGTGACTAAACTAGTCAGACTTGAAACTATGTACAAAGTAATAGGACACAGGATATGTGGAGGACATATCATTTTGACATAATGTGACATATTCAACATGAGAGGTTCAATATTAAAGGTTCAATATAAGAGGTTCAATATGAGAGGTTCAATATTAAAGGTTCAATATAAGAGGTTCAATATGAGAGGTTCAATATAAGATGTTCAATATGAGAGGTTCAATATCAGAGGTTCAAAATCAAAGGCTCAATATGAGAGGTTCAATATGAGAGGTTTAATATAAGAGGTTCAATATAAGAGGTTCAAAATCAGAGGTTCAAAATCAAAGGTTCAATATGAGAGGTTCAATATGAAAGGTTCAATATGAGAGGTTCTTTCAGGCATCTCTTCGGAAGGGGGAGCAGAGCCCCCCAAAGAAAGTCTACCGCTCTTCCCGCCCCCCCCCCCCCCCCCCCACCCCAACGAAAAAGAATTTATATTGATAATCTATGCTTTTAACAGTGTCCGCCCCCTCGGAAATTTAAGTCCGCCCCCCCCCCCCGCCCCGAAAATATCAAGTGCACCCCCGGAGAACAAAGTCTGGAAGAAATACTGCATCAGAGGTTCAACATCAGTGTAGATGTGTCTACAGCTGTGTGTCAGACATTTAGATGTGTGAGACAGCTCACGTGTTGACCGTGTCTTAGTGCCGTAACTCAACCTGTCAGGGCAGGTGAATAAGGTACTTAACTCTAGCAGACGACTGACAGACGGCTGGTCTGACAACTCTAGCAGACGGCAGATCTGACCGGCATTTGGTATCGATTCTAGCAGAAATCGGTAACTACAGACACTGGTTGATTGATCCCCTATGTCTGTTTGTCTGTCTCATTGTCTGTCCGTCTATCTAATTATGTCTACCTATCTGTCCATGTGTCAGTCTGTCTGTTTGTTTCTCCGTCTATTCACCTGTAGTCTCCCGTCAGGTCCGCTATGAATCACACGCTGGTCCCACAAGGTTTGAACTCACACCACTTGTCATCCAGTGACACGCCGTACAATCCAATGAAAACAATCTCCCGCGATGGAGGTCAACTTTAATCCCAGAGATCCCACAGCACGTGCAGTAACACGTGACCTCTGACCCAGTTGTGCACTGCTCACCAGATGAGTTCCAGAGAAATTTGACGAGAGCGACCTGAGTGAGCAAGCTATTGACCACAGCGCCGACAGCGGCGGCGGCGCCCGCAGGTACTCACCCACAGATACGCCAACGCGAGGGGGCGGGGCGGGCGGCGAGCGGGCGACGGTCGGCGCATGCGTCAAGCAAAACTCGATCTTTAACTTTTCCACAGATTTAATGCGGCCGTGTTGTCTGGTCTTGGCGTGATCGTGTCGTCAGTCTGGTTGTCACGCAACGTGATGGTGTTGTCAGTCTGGTTGTCACGTGTTCGTGTTGTCAGTCGGGTTGTCACGTCACGTGATCGTGTTGTCCGTCTGGTCGTCACGTCACGTGATGGTGTCGTCAGTCTGGTCGTCACGTCACGTGATGGTGTCGTCAGTCTGGTTGTCACGTCACGTGATGGTGTCGTCAGTCTGGTCGTCACGTGATCGTGTTGTCGTCTGATGGTCACGTCACGTGATGGTGTTGTCGTCTGATGGTCACGTCACGTGATGGTGTTGTCTGTTCTTTCAGTTTTCTTTAAACTTCCATAGTATTTCTAGGGGGGGGGGGGGGGGGAACTTGTTAAAATATGTTAACTGTATAAATTATGTTTCTTTTTCGTCCGCGGAGGGTGTGGGGTTGGGGAAACTGTCATGCTCGGGAGCTGGGGGGGGGGGGGGGTTTCAGTGTCCAGCTCGTGGACATGTGACCTAGTTGGTCGTTCTGGTCTACGTGTGACCCACTTTACCAGCTTGGTCTACATGTGACCCAGTTTACCAGTTTGGTCTTAGTGTGACCCAATCTACTCCAGTTTCAATAAAAAGATCTTCCATTAAAAACCCTAGGAAACTATTTCATTTTATCTCGTCATTTTCCTTTAACTTCCCTCCCCCCTGACCCTGTGGCCCAGTGCCTGCCCCTGGCTCCAATATCCACCCCATCTTGCAAGATTGCCTGTAGCGCTTCACGCTAGGGTCGCTGAGCATCATTCTATTTCCTGTACGACCCGGCCACCATCTTTAAAACAAGGTCGTTAACTCTGCCCAAAACCAAGTTCTTCCCCTTCCTTGGCTAATCTCCTGCCCCACCCCCCACATTTCGTGGATTTCCAGCCAGCCAAAATTTCAGCCTGCAAACCGGAAGTAGGGTTGTAAATCAGATGACGTCAGGTGCGTCTCGCGATATCTCGCGTTGTCCCAATATGGCGGCACACGATTGGGTTGCGGCCAACTTATTCCGTTAAACCTAAACAGGTAGTTAAAACCAGCTGTTAAACCTAGACAGAGTTAAACTTATGAATCTTATAACCGCTGTTAAACTCTCTAACATTAACCATTCATCACAGACCACTGAACCCAACTATGACGTTGTAACATCAAGTTCACCCCCCCCCCCCTCCCCAATCTCCCCGCCCCACCCATCGAGAAGAAAAGAATCCAACCCCCCGGGGCCTGCCCGTCACACACAATAATGCCAGACAGTGAAGCCTGCATGCCGTCAATACATCAAGGGGTCACAGGGGTCGGGGGTCACAGGGGTCGGGGGTCACAAGCAGATGTACAGCTCCCATAAACAACAACTCTCGAGATATTAGCTGGGATAATTTTGGGATATTTACGGTAATTATCTGGATACTTCCAGTTATCAGGGATATTTAATGCTAGCGTAAATAACTGTCTGTAAAAACAAACAAATTGAATTAGTTGTTATTTAACAATTCCACTAATTGGTCATGAGTCATCTTTTAGCCTTCCCCCCTCCCCCCCCCCCGCCCCCCACACACACTTATAGAAACGTTATTCCTCCTGCACCATACCCCACACACGTATTTGCTTCTCACCCCCCCCCCCCCACACACACACACAATTTGCTGCTACGGACCCAACCCCACCCCACAGACATTTTCTGCTTCACCGTACCCCCCCCCCACACACACACATGTATTTGCAGCTCTATTGTACATCACCCAGCCATTACACCACTTGACGATTACAACACTATTCGATTACAGGCACACATATTTTAGAACGTAAGGTCTTGCTGAAATCGATTCTCTAAATATCGTTGAGCATCTCTACTGATTACAAGACAATCAAAAGATGACAGGACTTTAAAAATCTCAGGTTTACTGTGGGGTGGGAGGGGTTGGGGGGGGGGGGAGACGGTACAACAGGCAGAATGATGGGAGACAATACCAAACGTAGGGGGGGGGGGAGACGATACAACAGGCAGATGATGGGAGACAATACCAAACGTAGGGGGGGGGGGGGAGACGATACAACAGGCAGATGATGGGAGACAATACCAAACGTAGGGGGGGGGGGGGGGGAGACGATACAACAGGCAGATGATGGGAGACAATACCAAACGTAGGGGGGGGGGGGGGGGGAGACGATACAACAGGCAGATGATGGGAGACAATACCAAACGTAGGGGGGGGGGGAGACGATACAACAGGCAGAATGATGGGAGACAATACCAAACGTAGGGGGGGGGGGGGAGACGATACAACAGGCAGATGATGGGAGACAATACCAAACGTAGGGGGGGGGAGACGATACAACAGGCAGATGATGGGAGACAATACCAAACGTAGGGGGGGGGGGAGACGATACAACAGGCAGATGATGGGAGACAATACCAAACGTAGGGGGGGGGGAGACGATACAACAGGCAGATGATGGGAGACAATACCAAACGTAGGGGGGGGGAGACGATACAACAGGCAGATGATGGGAGACAATACCAAACGTAGGGGGGGGGGGGAGACGATACAACAGGCAGATGATGGGAGACAATACCAAACGTAGGGGGGGGGGAGACGATACAACAGGCAGATGATGGGAGACAATACCAAACGTAGGGGGGGGGGAGACGATACAACAGGCAGATGATGGGAGACAATACCAAACGTAGGGGGGGGGGGGGAGACGATACAACAGGCAGATGATGGGAGACAATACCAAACGTAGGGGGGGGGGGGGAGACGATACAACAGGCAGATGATGGGAGACAATACCAAACGTAGGGGGGGGGGGAGACGATACAACAGGCAGAATGATGGGAGACAATACCAAACGTAGGGGGGGGGGAGACGATACAACAGGCAGATGATGGGAGACAATACCAAACGTAGGGGGGGGGGGGGGAGACGATACAACAGGCAGATGATGGGAGACAATACCAAACGTAGGGGGGGGGAGACGATACAACAGGCAGAATGATGGGAGACAATACCAAACGTAGGGGGGGGGGAGACGATACAACAGGCAGATGATGGGAGACAATACCAAACGTAGGGGGGGGGGGGGGAGACGATACAACAGGCAGAATGATGGGAGACAATACCAAACGTAGGGGGGGGGGGGGGAGACGATACAACAGGCAGAATGATGGGAGACAATACCAAACGTAGGGGGGGGGGGGGGAGACGATACAACAGGCAGATGATGGGAGACAATACCAAACGTAGGGGGGGGGGGGAGACGATACAACAGGCAGATGATGGGAGACAATACCAAACGTAGGGGGGGGGGGGAGACGATACAACAGGCAGATGATGGGAGACAATACCAAACGTAGGGGGGGGGGAGACGATACAACAGGCAGAATGATGGGAGACAATACCAAACGTAGGGGGGGGGGGAGACGATACAACAGGCAGAATGATGGGAGACAATACCAAACGTAGGGGGGGGGGGGAGACGATACAACAGGCAGATGATGGGAGACAATACCAAACGTAGGGGGGGGGGAGACGATACAACAGGCAGATGATGGGAGACAATACCAAACGTAGGGGGGGGGGAGACGATACAACAGGCAGATGATGGGAGACAATACCAAACGTAGGGGGGGGGGGAGACGATACAACAGGCAGAATGATGGGAGACAATACCAAACGTAGGGGGGGGGGGAGACGATACAACAGGCAGAATGATGGGAGACAATACCAAACGTAGGGGGGGGGGGAGACGATACAACAGGCAGATGATGGGAGACAATACCAAACGTAGGGGGGGGGGAGACGATACAACAGGCAGATGATGGGAGACAATACCAAACGTAGGGGGGGGGGAGACGATACAACAGGCAGAATGATGGGAGACAATACCAAACGTAGGGGGGGGGAGACGATACAACAGGCAGATGATGGGAGACAATACCAAACGTAGGGGGGGGGAGACGATACAACAGGCAGATGATGGGAGACAATACCAAACGTAGGGGGGGGGGGAGACGATACAACAGGCAGATGATGGGAGACAATACCAAACGTAGGGGGGGGGGGAGACGATACAACAGGCAGATGATGGGAGACAATACCAAACGTAGGGGGGGGGGGAGACGATACAACAGGCAGATGATGGGAGACAATACCAAACGTAGGGGGGGGGGAGACGATACAACAGGCAGATGATGGGAGACAATACCAAACGTAGGGGGGGGGGGAGACGATACAACAGGCAGATGATGGGAGACAATACCAAACGTAGGGGGGGGGAGACGATACAACAGGCAGATGATGGGAGACAATACCAAACGTAGGGGGGGGGGAGACGATACAACAGGCAGATGATGGGAGACAATACCAAACGTAGGGGGGGGGGGAGACGATACAACAGGCAGATGATGGGAGACAATACCAAACGTAGGGGGGGGGGGGAGACGATACAACAGGCAGATGATGGGAGACAATACCAAACGTAGGGGGGGGGAGACGATACAACAGGCAGATGATGGGAGACAATACCAAACGTAGGGGGGGGGGGAGACGATACAACAGGCAGATGATGGGAGACAATACCAAACGTAGGGGGGGGGGGAGACGATACAACAGGCAGATGATGGGAGACCAAACGTAGCTGGCCACATTTTCGTGGCCTCAGAGACGGTTCTGGAACTAAAGGGATTTCCTGTTGTCATAGCAACCAAGATACCATACAGAGGGCGAATAATGAGGTCAAAAGTGTTTTGACGTTTTGTTGCCCGTTATTTGGTGACTTCATCTACACATGCCTTGGTCATTTAGGACAATGGTCCACGTCGCCTGTAGGC